CGCGAACGGAGGACAAATTAACATGGTGACATATCCCCATGCCTGTTAATGGAGTTGGAGTCTTGAATCCAGACCTCCGGTGGTTCTCACCCGTCTTATATCTAGCTCGTGTCACTATGCGCTTGCCCGTGAAATCGATTTCACTTCCTTCTTCCAGAGTATGGGTAGCAACCAGGGACGGTGCGTCGCTTTTCCGCACTGCCCGTTCGCAAGCTTAGTTTTCACCCAGTCTACCCTGAATAATGGCAAAAACAGTCCCGACGTGGCACTTGACAGAGGACGCCAGGCTGCGCACCTACCTCCAGTCGGTCTTTTATCTGCATATCCGCGAATGCATGGTAGCTGTCGGACGATGTGCAATACCCACGCCGAGCTCTGCCGCGATACGTTCAATTGCTCCTGATAATTTTTTATGAATGATAGAGGGTGCCAGAGTGTTGCTGGCTCTCATCCCTCTGTTCCTCGCGGATGTTTACGAAGGCAGCAGCTGAGGAAAGTGTTTGGGTATTCATTCCTTGCCAGTTGGCCTCGAAGATGCCGTAGTTCTCGCACTCGTCCCTCAAGTTCATTGCAGTGCGTTTTTACTATCTGAAGGAGTGCTCTAACACAGCCGTGTTTTACACATTGTTCGCGCGACCAAGAGGCACGGCCCAATTCTTATCCAACCAAGCACGCTGCAATGTCAAGGACGCACGCCAAGGTGCCCAGGCCACACGCTATAGCGCCAACGACACACGCTGAGGCGATACGGGAGACGAAGATTGTGTGGAATCAACCAATCAGGAAGTCTAGCCCTCCATTCACTCCAACATTTCCTCGTAGCTGGACTATAAAGCATGCCAATTTCTTACTGTTCGCTCATTTTTTCTGATGGCATCTTCCTGTACGAAGTCGAAAGCTCAAGTTAAACAAGTGCTGTCCCAGTGATCGCGCCTTCGTCATCTTTGCAACAAGAACCTGCGACACGCATATTCATTTCTATTTTGATATGTGCTTAATCTTCCCATCCCGGGAAATGACTGCCTCATCTTTGGTTTACTGAAGGCTTGCAACCATAAGTAAATCGAAAATCGTGATAGAGTTTATACATGAAGGCATTTTTCTTTTTCTGGATCCCCTATCTCTTATACTGAGGAGTGTTAGTAAACGAATATTAAATCGTGGCCTCGATCATTCTCTCTTGTTTTGACCCTCAAAGGACTGCGCATTGACCATCATTTTTTTGCGAAATAAACAAAGGAATGTTTCAAAGATTCAGTTTTCAGACATCCCATGGTAACTGCACAAGTGTTATTAAAGTAAAGAGAATCGGAGATGTGACTCTAGGTTGAATTGACCAACTGGCTTATAAATAGTGTGTAATCATTTTCCTCTTTTCTTAGTGGCGGGCCTGTGCAAGCCACTTATCTTCCTAGCTTCATGACAACGAGGACGATAAAAATAGTAGGAAATAGAAATTTTGATAAATGATCGCGAAGCATTGGGGATATTTTAAATAAAAGTGTCATCAGAGGAGCTGTACTTTTGGTATTTTACCGACAAACGGAGAGCACAATCATGAAGCTTTGCTGCCTTTTCTGTACTTTTATTCATAAACAGCAAATTTGCAGGGGAGTGGTTTGAATAAGGCGTTATATCAAGCGGCTTCTACGAATATAGAGACGTCGCGTTTGT